TAGCTGATGCAGTAAATCTACATATGCACAAACAACCGTCTGAGCATCCCTAACCGCGCCAGAACCGAATTCCTGGGACTTCCACACAGCGAATCAACATGACATTTGCGTCCAGACAATCACCAATCACATCATAACACCATTCATGGGGCTTCAGTACCGCGAATTAATTTGGCTTTTCCGTCCAGGCAATCAGAAGTCGTGCCAGAACTCTCTTGGGACTTCAATCTTCGAATCCTCCACACTGCTGCAGACTTCTGAGACGAATGTGCACGGCGCGAAGGGGAGAACTACATCTTGAACACGTCCCGACCTCCATCCTTGAAGCTGCTGCAAGCTTTTTCAAACGAATGCGCGCGACGCTAAGGCGAGAGCTATATTTTGAAATTGGCCCGCCCCCCATCCTTGAAGCTGCTGCAAAAAAAAGACACAAATGTGCGCGGCGCTGAGGTGAGAGCAATATTTTGAAAACGGGCCGCCATCCATCCTTGAAGCTCTTGCGAAACCTAAGCTTCAAGATCACAAGTGGTGGGGAAGGTCTCAGTCCAAACGCCAGGCCCGCCCTACCGACACGTCGGGGGTGGGACAGGGAGGAGTTATACTTGCGAGCACAAGGGATGGAAGAGGATGGGGAGGAGGAGGAGGAGGAGGACGAAAGGCCTGGGGCGGAGTCCAGGCCCATGGTTCGGAGCTCGGCCCAGTCTGGAGGTCAGCGACTCCGACCTGGAGGCGTTCGAGAGCCCTCCAGCCACCGCACCATTGCTGGCGCTCGTCGGCGTGGGTAGGCTTTCTGGTGCAAGCGGGTCCTGGACCCAAGGGCTTTCCTCTGGACGAACTTTCGCCGTAAGTCGGTCTCGACAGCTCCAGGGCTCGGGGAGGGCACTGAGGGGCCCGAAAGCGAAGAATTTCCAGAGCCCTTTTCCTGCAGGACTCTGTTCCTTCACGCTGAAAGCGAGGACGAAAACAAGATCGGTCCCCAGACTCCTCCCGGGGTCCATCCTGACCACTTTCGAGCCGAGCAACGGCGACGATAACCTGCAAGAGCGCCCCAAAACGTACGCCCCAAAACATGCGAAAGGACCGCCCTGGATCCGTGCTCTCATGCGAATGAAAAAGAACAACTAGCACAAACAACAAACACATTCTCGGACGTCCGCGCAGATATCTTCGGGTCGGCGCTGGACCCCTCTGGCGGCACTTCCGGCGCCGCCCCTGACCTCCGACAGTTGATGTTTGTTTTGTTGGTCTCCAACGGCGAAAGTCTCCCAAATTGGGTCAGCTGAGTGGAATCATCTTGCTATCATTAGGAACGATACGTAAGGATCGCCCCAAAACTGCCCGTGTCCAAGAAGGTCGCTACACATTGGAGGTCGCTGGGGGTGCAGCGCCGCTTCCAAGACCAAAACCCAATACGCTCGGCCAACGCGCTAGATCCGTTCGCAGCAATCCTTACGACCGCTATTTTCCACAACCGCTGGTTTTACGACGCCGTCTGCACGTCAAGAGCAACGTTTCCAGTCGCGCGCGCGCGGGAATACCACCGAGCTCGACAACGTGTGAAGCCGGCGGTCTCCCCGACCCATCAACCGAGATCCATCTGTAAAGCACGAAGAAAAACGCCAAGGGCCAATTAAACACGTCTGCGCAGCAACGGCCGCGGGTCAAAGCACGGGGGGCACGGTATTGACGCCTCTACCTGACGAGTATGGATCCGCCAAGCCGCTCTTGACGCCTCTTCTAGGCGAAGATGGATCCGTCAACGGCCCCAACTGCGCGGGCGCAGGAAACGGCACCACGCGCAATGCACGCGCTTCGTCAGCGCCGCCGAGTGCCACGCGCACGCACGCCATAAACACAACATGTATGCGCGCGAGGGCAAACGACGCGACGCCGTCGATGGTGGCAACGCACGCTGGGCGCCCCGACGGCACCTCACTGACCGCTCGCGCACAGCATGGGCCACGCGTCCTCAGATGCACGGCGCCGCCCAGGGCCCTGCGGCCGACGCGCGGGTCGGCCCCGACGTGCCCTCGCACGGGTTCACCCCGACGCGCGTCTCGGAGGTGTATGCAGCTTGGCCCCAGCACGACGTGTTCGCCATGGTTGCGCAAATACGCGTCGCTGCAACTAGGTCATCGCATGCAAATCACCCTGGTGCGAATCGATGGCGGCGGGGCCGAATGCGGATTGACGCCGGGCTCGCCGAGCAAAGCGGTGTGCACTACCTTCGATGAGATGTCGGACTAGACGGGCGAGGCGCCGTTGCAATGAACGTAAAACGCTACGTTTGATTGTCGGTCGTCTTGAACAGTTACTATCGACTGGCACTTCGGCTGTTTAGGTTTGCCCTTACCCTGAGAGCATTACCCCCGCCCCCGTCGAACCAGAAGCAGGGATCGCCGTCGCTGCCCTTCAGCGAACTTCAGGCTAGAGAAACAACCATGGAAGGACCCAAGGATCAGCAACCCACTTCCGAACCCGTAACAGTCCTTAACTCAGCATCTTGGATGTAGATGGGATCGGAGAAGCGCGCCAGATTGCCAACGCATCGCCGATGCATCTGTGATGCATCGGCGGCAACGTCGGTCATGCATCGTCTGCGCAGTCGGCATGCATGATATCGGGCTCTACACCGAGCCGCACCGTCGATGCATTCGAAATTCGAAGCGCAATCCCCCGCTTCCATCCGTCCTCAGGCCCCATTGCGGGAGGCCCGGAGCTGATGGGAAGACTCGGCTCGGACGGAAAGGGGGGGTGTATAGGAAACAGGGGATCCGCGAATCAGCCCGCGCGGCCTGCTCTCCGGGCGGCCATGAACATCGGGGAACGCGCCCCACGACGGTCGGGGGCGCGCAAACATGGATCGGGCGTGCGGTCGCCAAGTCCATGGATCGGGGGAGGTGCCCTCCTCAAAATGCGGTCGGTGCCCCCTCGCTCGGCGGCGGAAGTCCGCGATGCCCCATGGAAAACGGGACCCGTCGCCAATCCACGCCCCTTTGGATCCATGCTTGCGATCGCCCGAGACGGGGCCGTGACCAGCTGCACGTAACAGATCTCGTCCCCACCTCGTTCTCTATTTCCCCTGGAGTCCGCCGAAGACAGAACAAAACCTCTCAGAAGGCGCGAGGAGGAGGAGGAGGAGGAGGAGGAGGAGGAGGAGGAGGAGGAGGAGGAGGAGGGAGGTAGGAGGAGGAGGAGGAGGAGGAGGAGGAGGAGGAGGAGGAGGACCCCAGAGTTCCCGACGCCTTCCCTGGAGGGCAACTCTCCCTCCTGGACTCCTTCGGCGGCGAGCGAGGGGGAGAAGCGAGCAGGAGAAAAGGTCCTCTCACGAGGCAGCGGGACTTCTCAGAAGCCCTCGCGCCTTCTGAGATTGTCTGTTTTGCGTCTTCGGGAAAGGCTTACAAGAATCCTCAGAAGGCCTGGGGACTTCCGAACCTTCTGGGAAGGCCTTACCCTTTTCTCGCTCCTCCCCCCCTCGCTCGCCGCCGACTCGTGTCTGATGGCTACCCAGGGCCGAGATCGAGGAAACACGCCCTCGATGAGAGAAGATCATGCCGCCGGAGATCCGGGCCCCCCCCCCTCCTCTCGTTCGCACGCGACCCACAGCAGGAGTGACCCGTAGTGCGCTGCCCGCCGGTCGTCGCAGGCGATGCGCTGGCGGCGGCCTGCGTTCTCGGGTGTACCGGCCCACCCCCCGCGCTGCAGAAGTCACCCTGGCGAACGGTCACAGGGGCCGCCCGCCCCGGCCTTCCTGTAGGCTCACCACGAGGTGTTCTCAGCACATAGAATAGCTTGTTAAACAAAAGTGCTGTTCTCAGAACATAAACCCGATGTCAAAACAAGACAGTCTCAGCCAGAAATGTTCTAAAAACCTTTCGTGCAGCGTGCAGACCACAAAAGGTCTTATAACATTATTTGGTGGGCCTATAGACGAGCCAGGGCGCTTCGCCATTGCTTGAGTCTTACGTCTAGCTGACCCTGTCGTTCGTTGAGCAGGAACCGACCGTCTTGGCATTCCTACAGGCCTACAATGGTTTTCTGCTTCGAACCGGGAACTTTTCGATTCACCAAAAAGATGTTATCAGGATAAACGGCGGACGGCTTCAAACAAGACGGACTCAGACAGACAAGCTCTGAAACAGGGGAACGAACAAAGACATAAACATAACAACTCGGAGGTCCGCGCGGATTTCTCGGATCGGCGCTGGTGCCCCCTGGCGACGCCTCTGGCGCCGCCCCTGGCGCGCTCCGCGCGCCAGAGAGGGGGGTTCAGCGCCGATCCCAGAAATCCGAGCGGACCTCCGAGTTGTTATCTTGATGTCATTGTTCGCTCCCGTATGAAATCCGCTCGTGCAAACCACAAAGGCCATTCGAACACAGTTTGGTGGGCTTGCAGGCAGGCCAGGGCGCCCCGCCACTGCTCGAGTCCGACCTGGCCGACCCCCGGCCCAGCTCCTGGGGTCGGGGGCTGCTCCAAGTGCCCCTGGCCCAAGGTGCCCCCAGCTCCTCGCTCAGTTCTGGAGCCCCTGGGGCCCCCTGGGCCATGTGAGAGGTGCTCTGGAGGCCGTGGGGGGCCTCCTTGGACATCCTGGGGGGCACCTTCCCTGACCTTCCAGAGAGCTATTTTTTAGCACGGGAAGCCTAAAAACGTAAAAAACTGAACGAAACAGCCTAAAACCAAGACATAGCATAGCTCTGGGATAGGTTATTAAGTCGCGTGCTATCTTTTTCGCCCTCCTGGAAGGTCAGGGTTGGGCCAGGGGTCGGGAACGGCCAAGAGGGGGGTGTCCAAGAGGGGGGGGTGCAAATCATGACCGGCGGCATGTGCGCGGCCCAGCGGGGGGGCCAGGGACGTAATGAAATAAGAAGAGGCGCCATGAAATCTGGGGAAATATCATGGCCCCCGCCATGATATCCACCCACCCCTAGTCATCACCCCCCTCTTTTCCGCCCCCGAAGGGGCACCTCTGGCAACATTCGACCCGGGGCCGTCTGGCGTCCTCGCGCTCGGGCACGCCGGCCAGGAACTGGCCCAGCAGCAGCGCGGCCCGCTCGGGGGCCTGGCGCGCCCCCCCGCCGGCGCCGTCTGCCGGCTGCCGCCGCGCGCGGGGAGCCAAGGCGAGCCGCCCTCCCCCGCGGCGACCACAGCTGAAGGGGCCCCAGGACACACAAATAAATACACACAAATACACAGATTCCCTATATTTTTCAATACTTGTTGGGTTTTCGTCTTCCCCGCCACTTCCCATACTTTCCCATATTTTGAGGGGAATCGAGGATTCATTGTGTCTGTGTGTTTTTCCCTCCTGAACAGCGGCGCTGGTGAGCCTTCTGCAGGCCCTGGGGTCCAGGCGTCGCAGTGGATTCGTGCGGGGCGCTTCCGCCCCCTGTCGGGCCCTGGGGCCCTCGCGATCGATCCGGCTCGAATAAAGGGACCCCAGGACACACAAATAAATACACACAAATAGAAATATTCCCCAAGAAACCCAGGGCACCCTGGAGGCAAAAAGGGTGTTTCCTGGCACGGGTCTCCACTGTATGGTTAAGTCGGGCCTGTCCCCCTACAGGGGGATTTTCGACGAAAAATAAAAAACAGTCCAACCATAATTAAACAATAATACAAAAATAGTCTGGGGACTACTTTTGGAACATGTTTTGACCTTTTTGGTGTACTTTGGGGGTAGCTTCTATCTTTCGTCGAAGATCTCCCTGCAGGAGGACACGCCCGACGTAACTGGATGGCCTGAGAGCCCAGCGCGCTCACGTCGTGACGCCGTGACGAGACCGCGACGAGGAGAGTCCGTGGCCGTCCTCGGCCTCTGAAGGGGCCCTCGCCACACCTCGGAGCCTCCCAGGAGCGACCCTCGAGCCCGAACAGCTAGGGCTCCCAACTTCGCGCTTCGCGCTGCGCGAAGCGCGAATAACTTCGCGCTCTCGCGCCGCCCTCCCAAAGGGAGAATAGGAGGACGAGGAGGAGGGGGAGAAGGAACGAGGACCGCGAAGCGCGAAGCGCGAATAACTTCGCGCCCTCGAGGGAGCCCTTGGAACAGCCGGCCCCATTGGAGAAGGGCCGGGACTTCCGGGGGCCCCGCACGGAGAGCAGCTCGAGCCATCGGACGTCTGGGGCCGGAGGCTGCCCCTCGCCTCGGACATCTCCGGCGGCAGCGCCGCGGCGGCAGCGCGGCGGCGGGAGCTTCTTCCGTGGGTGTCCGGAGCGGCCCCGGGCGGTCGCACGAGGCCCGAGGCACGGCCCGCAAACCACCGGGCGTCGATGAGGGAGAGACGAGAGGAGGATGCCCCCCCCCCCCCCACAGCTCCTCCGTCCTCCTCCTCCGTCCTCCTCCTCCTCCTCCTCTTCCTCAAGAGGAGGATGCCCCCCCCCGGTTCCCCAGACAGCTCGTCTGCACAGGTGTGCTCTACGTGCACATTTGTCTTCTGGCGCCCGGTGCGGGGGGCCCTAGCCCCCGAAGCCGATGGCCCCTCGTGGCCACGCACCGTGCACTGCGTGAAGCTGTTCAGGGACTTCTGCCGCAACGGTGTAGCGTTTCCCCAGAAGGAGGAGGAGAAGGAGAAGGAGAAGGAGGAGGAGGAGAGGGAAGAAGAGGATGAGGAGGAGGAGGAGGAGGGGGACAGTGCGAACCCCAGACCGCTGTCCACCACGGGGAGTTGGCTAGCAATCCCGCCTCAGGGCCGTCATCGTCCTGGCCCCCACCATCCAAAACGAAGCTGGACGTCCCTCCCCCCAGGTGAGCACTAACTTACGTGTAAATATTTTCAGGCCGATCTCGCGCTAGGCCCCCCTAGCAACTCGGCGGCCAAAAACTCCAGCTCAGGTTTCACCGTGTTCGAACATGGCATCCCGCGGCATGCGTAGCGAATCGGACATCATGACAAGTGGCAATGATCGCATCATGCCGCACCCCCCCAAACGTCCGTGGGAGGGCGTCAAGAGCAACCATCTGCTCTCCGATCCTTCCTTCGCTGCCACGGTACTTGCGTTCCCCTTGCTCTCGCCGTCAAGTGGGGCATCGATGCTCAATGCGGAATATGTTACAACCGAAAGCAGGATCAGGGAACTTCTCGTTTAGAAAAGCTGGGCCAACTTCCTGGAAAATTCTTAAGACACGCCTGGGCCAATGTATGCCGTTAGCGCTGGGGGGGCGGACGTCCGTCAAGTTGCTTCAGAAAAGCTAGCCCAGTGTTTGAGGAGGAGGTTTCTTAATCAGATGCTCGACTGTATTCTGTGGTTCATCAGCGTGGACGTCTTGTCGTCGGCATTGGGCTTCCGTTTATATTAACAGCAGTTTGTACTTTTGGGTTGCCCGTAGCCAAAGGGACATGGGAAGAGCATTCGGGCACGAGCGGGACGTGGGGCACACGCAGCGAGGGACAAAAGCCCTGTGGGGGACGCCGCCCCCGCGCCAGACGACGACGACGACGACGACGACGGCGGCGGATGCGACTAGGACGACGACGAGGAGAACCCTCGAAGACGAGACCCCCTTTGCCAGAAAACGCCGCCTCCCCCGTGCCGAAGATTTGAGCAGGGACCGACCGTCCCGGCAGTCCTATAATCCTACCACGAAATGTTCTTAGAACCCAAAAATGTTCTAAGAACATCAACGATCTTCTTATAGCAGAAACCCGATATGTTACAACAAGACAGTAGCAACCAGAAGTGTTATAACAGCATGTCGTGGAAACCGCAAACAGGTTCTTAGAAAATGGTTTGGTAGGGCTATAGGCGAGCCAGGACGCTTCGCCACTGCTTGAAAGACGAAGCCCTGTGGGGGACGCCGCCCCCGCGCCAAACGACGACGACGACGACGACGACGACGACGACGGCGGCGGCGGCGGCGGCGACGAGGACGACGACGAGGAGAACCCTCGAAGACGAAACCCCTTTGCCAGAAAACGCCCCCCCCCCTGCCGAAGACGAAGCCTCGCCCCCAAAGAGGCGCGGCGCCCGCCGCCCCGGCGCGGGGCGGGCCGTGCCCTCCGCACGCCGACCTCGGGCTTAAGAAGCTCGGCCGTGCGCGATTTTTTTGTTCGCATGTCGTCGCCGCCGCCGCCGCCGCCGTCGTCGCCGCCGTCGCCGCCGTCGCCGCCGCAGTAGCCGTCGTCGCCGTTGCCGTCGTCGCCGTCGTCGTCGTCGTCGCGGTCCCCATCGGCGCGCTGCGCAGGTTTCTCCGTGGCCGTCGTCGCCGTTGCCGTCGTCGCCGTCGTCGTCGTCGTCGCGGTCCCCATCGGCGCGCTGCGCAGGTTTCTCCGTGGCGTCGTCGCCGTCGCCGTCGTCGTCGTCGTCGCGGTCGCGGCGTGCGTTTCTCGGTCCGTCGTCGCCGTTGCCGTCGTCTCGTGTCGCGCGTCCCCATCGGCGCGCTGCGCAGGTTTTCTCCGTGGCCGTCGTCGCCGTTGCCGTCGTCGCCGTCGTCGTCGTCGTCGCGGTCCCCATCGGCGCGCTGCGCAGGTTTCTCCGTGGCCGTCGTCGCCGTGGCCGTCGTCGCCGTCGTCGTCGTCGTCGCGGTCCCCATCGGCGCGCTGCGCGGGTTTCTCCGTGGCCGTCGTCGCCGTTGCCGTCGTCGCCGTCGTCGTCGTCGTCGCGGTCCCCATCGGCGCGCTGCGCAGGTTTCTCCGTGGCCGTCGTCGCCGTTGCCGTCGTCGCCGTCGTCGTCGTCGTCGCGGTCCCCATCGGCGCGCTGCGCAGGTTTCTCCGTGGCCGTCGTCGCCGTTGCCGTCGTCGCCGTCGTCGTCGTCGTCGCGGTCCCCATCGGCGCGCTGCGCAGGTTTCTCCGTGGCCGTCGTCGCCGTTGCCGTCGTCGCCGTCGTCGTCGTCGTCGCGGTCCCCATCGGCGCGCTGCGCAGGTTTCTCCGTGGCCGTCGTCGCCGTTGCCGTCGTCGCCGTCGTCGTCGTCGTCGCGGTCCCCATCGGCGCGCTGCGCAGGTTTCTCCGTGGCCGTCGTCGCCGTTGCCGTCGTCGCCGTCGTCGTCGTCGTCGCGGTCCCCATCGGCGCGCTGCGCAGGTTTCTCCGTGGCCGTCGTCGCCGTTGCCGTCGTCGCCGTCGTCGTCGTCGTCGCGGTCCCTATCGGCGCGCTGCGCAGGTTTCTCCGGACGGTGTCGGTCACGCTCGGGCGCTGCGCGCCGCCTCGCCTGCCGGGGGCCGGCGGAGAAAAGCAGCACGGCAAGCGCACGTCGATGCCACCGCGCAGAGGAAACACAAGGACGTGCGAGGCGATCCCCGCGTTCACCCCGTACGGGGAGCCAGAAGTCAACGAAGCCGAAACCAGTCGATCCCTCCACCACTGGACATGAAATCCCCACTGAAGGTTTTTTGAATCAAAATCCGCGGCACCACAAAAGCCCGACCGCTCCCCCAAGGGTAATATTTTCGAGGGTGCGCCGCTGGATCTCCCCCAGGGGGTGGGGGGTGGGGTTAGGACCCCCCCTCCCCCTTCCCTGATCCGTCGTCGGGGACCCCCCCCCTCCCCTCCTTCCCCGATCCTCATCGGGACCCCCCCCCCTTCCCCCCATTCCCCGACCCGTGGTCGGGGCCCCCCCCCCCCTCCTCGGACCCCCCCTCCCCCCTTTCGCCACGCCGCCCCCTGACCCGGAACCCGACCCCCGCCACCCCTACCCCGAGTCCTCAAACTAACCCAAACCCGTAATCCGAACCCCAACCACTAACCCCATCCCCAAAGAGCACTCAGTACTCATTACTCACTACCCACTACTGACGAGTCGCTATTCGCTATTCGCTACTCACTTCCCACTACCCCTACTCACTACTCACGACTCACTACTCACTATCCACTATCCACTACTCACTACCCGCCACCCACTAATCGCTACTCCCTACTCCCTACTCACTACTCCCTCCTCCCTAGTCACTACTCACTCCTCACTCCTCACTACCCACTACTCAATACTCACTACTCACTAAGCACTACCCACTACTCCCTACTCACTACTCACTAATCACCACTCATTACCCACTACCCACTATCCACTACTCACTATTCACTACTCATTGCCCACAAATCACTACTCACTACCCACTACTCG